GTAGTCTGTAGATGCTGAGGTCAGGTAGCGAGAGGGTGAGGGAGAGATGGTGGACTTAAAGGACGAAGAAGAAAGAACTCTCTCTCTCTATCACACACACACACACACACACACACACACACACACACACACGCATACACACACACACACATACACACACACCCGTAGTATGCGGTAGTGTATATATCCACGTTCTAGTGATAGATTCATTCGATTTTATTTTATTTATTTATTTATTTTATATTTCTTATCCTATTCGATGGAAGTATCATGAGGTAAGTCGCGAGATTGAAGGCTTACCTGTTCTCTCTTTGTCGTCGTCGTCGTCGTCACCGTCGTCGGTCTTCGTCGTCGGTCTTTGTCGTCAGTCTTCGTCGTCAGCGTCAGCGTCATCGTTGTTGTATTTTCCTTCCACTTTCCCCTCGTTCTCTCTCTCCCCCTCCTTCTCCTTCTTCTCATTCTTCTCATTCTTCTTCTCCCTTTAAACCATAGGTCCCCCCGCCACCGAAAACCCGCGGAGGACCTCTAGTGCTCGGTCACTGTTTTTTGGTCGAACGACCAGTAGTACAGCGTGGAAAATCGGGCGGGCCTCCAAACGAAATTTTCAACAAAAATTAGAAATAAACCGAATCGGCGCGACGAATATTTCACCGTCAAAATAATTTTTTTTTTTTGCTGATATTTTTTCCTGAAAGATCACGACCTAATCTACAGACCCTCAAATTTTCATACATTTTCATGATTTTTTTTTAGCATGAAAAATCGGCAAAGTTGCCGCTTGCAAAATGGCGGGATTGGACCCGTCGGCCTCCGTAAAACCCGACGCCTCCGTACGATCGCCGCCCCTCCGTACAACCTGGCCCTAACTCACAGGGACTAGGGGTTTTCGGTGGCGGGGGGACCAGTGGTTTAAATGATAAAGTTCAATTAATTTTTCATAGCACTCCCAGTGGCAAACCGCTGAGATCACCGCGATTCAGTCACTTCACCGGACCATTCAATCGGTAGGAGCAACAGCGGTGTGTACAAAGGGCAGGGACGTGATCAGCGCGAGCTGAGGACTCGCGCTTATTAGACATTCCTCTTTCAAAATCGATAATTATCACAATCTTCCGCGTCGCGGTGAGCCTCCTTCCATTCCCCCTTTTCTTCTTCTTCTTCTTTTTCTTCTTCTTTCTTTCTTCGTTTCATCACGCCTCCTTCTTCCCGCGCGGTCATCTCTATTGCTCCCCGTGCACCATTTCTATCGCACCCGCGTCATCTCCTCTGCTCCTCGCGCACCATCTCTACCGCACCCCGCGCCATCTCCTCTGCTCTTCGCGCATCTCCTTCCTTCTGTGCGTCCGAGTCCTTCTCCTTCCTCGTCGGCGTGCGCTACCCCATCTGCTCCCCGTGCCCCATCTCCGAGTCCGTTCTTCCTGCACCCGTGTTCGAGTTCGCCCCGCTCCGCGATCTCCTTCCCCTACTCCCGGTGCGGTCGGACAGACTCCAGTTGGAGCTCCTTCGACTGACACACCTCACGCTACACAGGTAAAAATCCGACATCGAATCCGCGATTGATTCATCGGATCAGAGCTTCTCGTTTGCAGGTACTGAGTCACATACAAAAAAAGAAAAAGATAATAAAAATAAAAGTAAATTAAACAAAATCTAATGGATTAGAAAGAAAAGGAATAAAAAAAATAACTAAAGAAAAAGAAACTACCTACTATCTACCCTGTGGTGCCAGCTGTTGGGCACGGGTTTGAACAGAAAACGAGAAGAACTAACCAGCTATCCGTCGGAGGGTACGAATTCAAGTCCCGCCCGAAGGGAACAAAGGTGAAATCATGAGTGGGTTCCTTGTCAAAAAGGAGTTAGCTCAGGGGTCGGGCAGATTCGATCCTCAGGTCGACTGCTTAACAATCTGCACCGTAACCTATTAAGCTAGCTCCTACTTCACATAGAAGTAGAGCAGCCCAGATATAACTACAGCATCGGGACTCAGTCCGACCGGCGGACCGAACCCAATTCGAAGTCTGCGTGTGTGTTGCACGCTTGCTGGTTTGCGTGCCTGTCTGAGTGTTTGTCGGCTTGAGCGTGTGCATGACCAGCAAGGGCACTTGGTTGACCGGTAGGTCCGACGGGCCGGTACTTAGTTGTGGCCGCGATATTGAGGGTCGTGGCGGGGAGACACTCAAGTGGCAGGTAGACCGGTACCACACCAAGTAGAGGTAGATGTGCCGGGTACTTAAGGCCGAGTAGGAGAAGACAGAAGCTGACATTTTTAGACGCCCAGAACCAATAGGTAGACAGGTATCAGCCCAAGTCTCAGTGTGTGTCGTAGATGTACCCGACACAGCATTAACCTAATCAACCCTTCGGCCCTTTTCGGTCGGAGGGTACCATTACCGATTCTAACATTTACAACACGCGTCATAACAACGCGCGCGCATACTCTCGAAAGTTTCTCACCGATTCGCCCCGGCCTCAATGGCCGAGGAAATCGTTTCAAGTGCCATGCCAAAGAGTGCACACCCCTTTTCATTCCGGACTGGCTCTGTCATGGTAGCCGACGCCGTCACCTATGTCGAATGCAAAAGCATGGCCAAATACCCTTGTAAGGGTATTTGGTCCGACAGCGGTACACAATTGGTTTTGGATCAGTGGTTGGTAGGTAAAGAGTAAAAACCTGGACACTCGGTGTTGATCCGCAGTAGGACGGCAGCAGAAGGTGGCTTGGGGGGTCAGGAGGGAGTGTCGTCCCCTTCCAGGAACTGGTGTAAGTTCCTCCCTCCCAGGATAGGGAGGCAGAGCTCGAATAGACATAAGTAGGAAACAGTTGGTGACTATGGACATCCACCAGCTTGAATGGTCATGCTTTGTATTTTGTGTAGAATTGTGATTCACCAGGGGGTTGGTCCCCTGCAGGGTTGAGTCCCTGTAAGCTCCCAGATGTTTTCATTTTGGGTAGACTGTGAGGACCCCGGCCTCAACAAAATAAATAAATAAAATCACCCGAAGTCACACGCGTTGCACCACCGTGGTAGCAGGATAAGGCGCTGGTGGGACCTAGCCCCAGAACTCCAGCCAACAGAGCTACCAAGACGTGTCCTCGTGTAACATTCCCTGACCTGCGGATGCAGGCTTAGGAGGTCAGCGCTGGACTGTGCTCGGGAAGTTGCCAGAGGCCGCAAGAGGTCAGCGCGGTGCTGCCTTGGGGAGTTGACCGCGCGCGCTGTACTCCGGCACCTGTGGTCTCACAGGGGCTGTGCTCCGGCACCCGATCTGTCGTCTCACAGCTATACCGAGCAGGGTGCCGGACCTGGAAGGGCTAGTGGCCGGGTCCCGGGTCCTGGTCGAGTAGTGGCACGGTCGGAGCGCGCTGCAGCCGCGGTCATGTCGGAATGTCGGGATGAGCGCGAGGAGGAGGCGGCTCACAAAGCAATTGATTGTCTATTACGGGCTCGCTGCACTACTCTTGAAATGCACAAAAGACAAAAATCATGGCCGTGTATCTTTCCATATTGTAGCGGAAGATTCACTCTCGTTTTGCACATTTCGAGAGTGGTGCAGCGAGGCCCTACCTTTCACAGGCAAACGCGAAGTCCATCTAGTAGCCTACTCCTTAAAACACGGGGCTTGGGGCAGGGTTGGACGCCGACGGAATAAAAAAGAAAAAAAGAAGAAAAAGAAAAGGAAAAAAAACGAAAGGGATGTCGGGGAAGGCCACTCGCCACAGAAGGCCATACACATTTTCTGAATGAACATTTTCAAAGCCAACTCTACGAACGGGTGACTCACATGGTATATATGTTAGCAGACCAATAACTGGTTGGGGGGCTTTGTCAATTGCGGCTGACATAGCGGACCTGGAAAACAAACAGGTGCCACGTGGAGCGCGGTGGGCCCTTAAGTAGGCATATGGCCGCCCTTGCCGCTATAGTAGGACGGTCGGGCGAGGGCTCAGCGCCGCGACTCGTTCGGCCCGCCGGGCCACGGTCATTTCCTAGCGCTCGGGCGATCGAGGGCAGCGGCCCAGCGGCGGGTTACGCCTTGAGTGACAGGGCGGGCTTTCTGTTCCGTTCCGAAGAACGATCGGAACAGAAGTAAGCAGGATTCGGACCAGAAATAAGCAGGATTTGGACCAGAAATAAGCGGGAATTGAATTGGTCGGGCAAGTGAAAATGAATTGATCGGCCGCATGCTGGAAGAAGCAGCGGCGTTGACGAGGGCTTGTGGAATCTGACAATTTGTCTGCTGCTCAAAATCAAATTGGTCAGAAATCGACAATTTGTATTCGAGCAGGTTGAACAAAGGAGCAACGAGAGCGAATACTGGATAGTTGAGGAGCCGAGGCGCCTAATCATGCGCATACTTTCCGTCTCTCGATCTGCCACTTGAGCGCGTTTCGCCCTTTTTTTCCGTGAGCTTGTTTTGTGCTCGAGCTTATGCTTGTATTTCTTCTTTTCTATGTGTGCGGGTGCGTGCGTGCGTGCGTGTGTGTGTGTGTGTGTGTGTGTGTGTGTGTGTGTGTGTGAGCTGAGGCGCCTGATCATCCACATAATTTTGTGTGTGTGTGTGTGTGTGTGTGTGTGTGTGTGTGTGTGTGTGTGTGTGTGAGCTGAGGCGCCTGATCATCCACATAATTTCCATTTCCCGATCTGCCACTTGAGCGAGTTTCGCCCTTTTTGTCAGTGAGCTTGTTTTTGCACGAGCTTGTGCTTTTACT